ATGTTTGATGCAGACAAGAAGTTGGCAAACAGGGAAAATGCTTTAACAAGTGCTTGCTTAGAAGAAGAAATTCTCCCAAAATAAGAACAAAGCAGAAAAAATTATCAGTTTAGTATTAATGTAGAAAGTAGAAAAGTACTTGATGATGTAGATCACAACTTTGATTGAAGTCAAAGAAAGAAAATCCCAATCAACCAAGAAGAAGAGAGATTAAAAAATGAGAGGACTGTGTTTATGGGGAATTTGCCTGTCACATGTAATAAGAAGCTGAAATCATTTTTTAAAGAGTATGGGCAAATGGTACAGTTTTGGTCTTTGATTCTAGCAGAGGGAACTGTATCTAAAAATTTGGCAGCAATCAAATGCAAAATTCATCCTGGTCAGATAAACATTAGTGTTTATGTTGTGTTTAAGAATGAGCATGCTGGGCTGGCAAGATAGCTCAGGGGACTAAGCGCCTGCCTAGGCAAGCGCAAGGATCAGGGTTCAGTACCTCTTACTACATGCAGCGCTGGTCCCACCCCTAGGCACACGGAGCCAGCAACTGAGTCTGGGCACGGTGGCATACGCCTGTAATCCCAGCACTGGGGAAGCTGAAAACAGGAGGATCACTATGATGAGTCCTAGCTGCAGACTACATAAAAGAAAAAAAAAAAGTGAGTGTGCTGCTACAAAGTATTGAAAAGGAATGGGGCCCAGATTGCAGGTGGATTTTGTATTCCAGTTGATCTTGCATCTGGGATAAGAAATCAGTATTTGTTGGGAATCTCCCTTGCAAAGTAAACGAACACTTTCTGGACTGTGGCAGTGAAGATTGTGAGAGACCCAGTTACAGGAGTTGGCAAAGGGTTTGGCTGTGTGCTCTTTGGCAACACAGATGCTGGTCAACTTGCTATGAAATTAAATAATTCTGAGCTAATGGGAAGAAAACTCAGAGTCATGCACTGTTAATAAAGACAAATTAAAACAAAATTCAAATCTAGATTTGAAGAATGACAGTAAATCCAAGCAGGGACTGAACTTTACTTCCAATAATGTAGGGCAACCTAAAAGTATATTTATTGGAGGAAAAAGCTGTTCTTGTTAAGAAGAGGAAGAGAAACAAGGCAGGGGAGATAGCTCAGCGGTCTAAGCACCTGCCTGGCAAGTGAAATGTACTGAGTTTGATCCCTGGTAGTGCATGCCATGCCAGCCCCAAAACCACAGGTGTGCAGTGCAGGCCCCAAAACCAGGAGTGGTGCCACACACCTGTAATCCCAGCCCTGGGGAGGCTGAGACAGGAGGATCACTACAAGTCCAAACTTCGTAGTGAGACCCTGTATAAAAAAAAAAGAAAAACAGAGAGAGAGACAGAGAAAGAGAGAGAGAGCGCTCTAAGAATCTGAGAAAACAGAAGTAATTGTCAGAAGCTGTGTGGTGAATCCATGAACTGAGCATCATGACTTTTTATGAACTGTAGTGAGGCTTGTACAATCTTCTTCACACTGTTAATCTCTTCAGAGCATTTTTTTTTTTTAGTGTAGGCAGATTAGTTCATGGATTATATGTTACTACTGATGGTATGAGGCATTATTTTATTGGACCTAGGTCAACACTTAGAATTTTAATGATTATTTGACTGTGTTAGAAATAGATAATTAGTGCTGCAGAGAGTTATTTCAAGAATATTTTTGCTAGATATGAGACTAGTAAATTAAATAAAAACAGACAATGAATCTTTTTATTGATTGTACATAGACGAAGTAGCATTAGTAACTTTAAAGTGGGAATACTGATTCCAGGTCCAGTAATAATAGCTATGAAAAATTTGAGAATTGTTACATAACACATACTCATTTTTCTTTCTTTTTCACTTGTGATAAGTGGGAGTTCTGGATTTTTATCTTATTCCATCAACTAATAATAACAAACCAATAAGAATGGAAAATGAAAAACAAAAAAATAAATTCTCTGCATTTGCTCAATCTGCTCCTTTATCTTAGGATCAGCTTTCTACTCTTTCTTAATTAAGCTGATTTATGAGTTTTTAGTATTCCTGAGGAATTTTGGGTGTGATGTAATTATAACTAACTAAGTCATTTAGAAATGCTATAGGCAGTCACACAGGGCTGGGACACTCAGACTAGTTCAGTGCAGAAGACAGTTGTGGTTGGAGGAGCATTCCTTGAAGGTCAGACCTCAGAATCTCAGGATACAGAAATGGCTACACCCACATACTTCCCCTGAACAGCAGGGATTCATATTCTAAACAGGCATCAGTCAGCGTGGGTGGGGGACCCAAACCTCCCTGGCCCCTCCTTTCCAGGAAAAGTCTTTGTTTGGTTTATGTACACTTGCTATATGACTTGCTTCCCCATTTGACCCCCATTAAATCAATGTTACCTAAGTGACTATACTTGTAATCTTACTGGTTGACCATAGTTTTGTCCCACCTCATACCCACCTTGTGATTTTGCACTGGG